TTTATTACGAAAACTCACCATCGCGCTATGATAGAGGAGGAGCTGATAGAGGAGGTATCTGAGCCTTTAGCTATGATTTTTGAAAAATCATGGAAGACAGGGGAGATTCCAGACGACTGGAAAAGGGCAAATATTGTGCCCATCTATAAAAAGGGGAATAAGAACAACCCAGGAAACTACAGACCGGTCAGTTTAACGTCTGTCCCAGGGAAGATAATGGAGCAGGTAATTAAGGAAATCATATGCAAACACTTGGAAGGTAATAAAGTGATAGGGAATAGCCAGCATGGGTTTGTGAAGAACAAGTCATGCCAAACTAATCTGATAGCTTTCTTTGATAAGATAACGAGCCTTGTGGATAAGGGAGAAGCGGTGGATGTCATATACCTAGACTTTAGTAAGGCATTTGATACGGTCTCACATGATATTCTTATTGATAAACTAGGCAAATATAACTTAGATAGGGCCACAATAAGATGGGTGCATAATTGGCTGGATAACCATAGTCAGAGAGTTGTTGTTAACCTCTAAAAATTTGAAATGTAGGTCAGACCCCTTTGGAAATCTTAGATGTACTCTGTGGACCCCCATGTTGTCCACAGATCACAGTTGAAAAATCACTGTTCTATGGCAACAATGACCTTTTACAGACCCTCATGGACATAGTCTGTGGACGACATGGGTCCACAGGCCTGAAATTGAAAAACACTGGCCTGCACCATTAATGACCCAAGGGAGCCTTATTCTTGAACCTCATTGAAATTTCTTTACATAGTTAAAGAATCTATACTATAAATATTACTGCATCAGAAATAATTTCTGGTAAGTCTTTAAAGTCATTGAGCCAAATTGACTTTAGATACTTGCACACAGCACACTGAATTCAGTGAGAGTTGTACTTGTTAATGTGAAAGCAGGATTTGGACTTTCCTCTTGCGGTATCTATGAGACAATGTATGTGTGCCTGTATCTATAGTGTAGACGCTAAATTCCTTGTATCTTTGTAAAGTAGCCACACTATAAAGCCCTGTATAGACAAAGTGAAAACTGTAGTAGGATACTATGAAGCAACTCCATGGAATATTTGCAATTTCGTAAAAGAAAGGATTTAATGTTCTCCCTTCATTGCTGTACTTTGTAAATTAAATAATCTGGTAATATAAAAATGTATATAGGTACTAGTTCTAGTTATATCTGAGACTAAAAAGCCATTGAAAGTTGTGTTGTGAATGTAATACTATAACCATTTTGAAAGTCTCAGAGAGGTAGCCATGTTAATCTGTAACTAACAAAATTTTAAAAACAACAATGGTCCTGTAGCACCTTAGAGATCCACATGGGTGGATCCTTACAGCTGCTCACAACCCAGCTAAAGTGAAATGTGGGTTCTTCTGCCCACAGATAATATGGCAGGGCTAAGCTGTTAGTGGACTGAGGGCAGATCTACACTGAACCTGGAAGGAAGGCTTAAGGTACACAACTGCAGCTACGCAAAATGCATACTTGGAGTAATCTTACCTTAAGATGAGCCGTGGTGGCGTCCACCCACTCATCATCACACTTTTTAAGAGCCTAGTAACCTTAACTACAGGGCAGATTTATGAACCTGAGCAAACCTAGGACGAATGCCTATGCTGAATGGGAATCATGGAGAAATCTGATGGTAACAAGTTGGTTTCGACCCAAACTTGTTTATTTTGGTTGATTTTCACTTCGCGATTTGGGCTCCTTTAAATATTAATAGCAAAACAAACACAAAACCATTTAAAAATAATGAGCAGAAACCATTATCAATACCAGAAAAAAAGGCTTTGCTAAAGTTCTAGTTGAGTGAATGCCGACCAGATGCACAAGAATCACATGACGCACAAGCTAATAAATTGGCCTGCATTCTTGTATTACTCAAAATGTCGGTCACTGAGAAAGATACAGGAGCAGATCATGAATACAGTGTAAATGTTGAGATGGATGCTTGGATTTACTCTGAGGGTGCATCTAGAGAACACCTTTCTGCCGGAATAAGCTACATAATTTGCGCTATGCATATAGCGTAGCTTATTCCGAGTCTAGGTCAAAAGAGCTTATTTTGAAATTTGGCGCTGTGTAGACAGTGCCAAATTTCAAAATAAGGCACTAGTCCAATAAATCCCTTGACCGTCATGGAACGATGTTAGAAGGACACTGGAATCACGCCCCCTATTTCGGGAAATAGCAGGAGTGTTTAAAGAAACAGAGTTGCTATTTTGGGATACTTCCAGTATCCTAAAATAGTGCCGCAGTCTAGATGTACCCTGAGAGATTATATTGATAGTAAATGAATAAGAGGTAGCATGAAGGTGATACTAATTATAGAAAAGTTGATGGAATCCAGACTTAGATGGTTTGAATATGTGAATGGATAATATAGGGAACAGGAAGTTATACTTAGTGGAAGAAAGAGGAGGTTTGGAAGGCCCAAATGAGATGGATGGATATCCTGCAAAAGGATTTGATTAGCCATGTTGTTTCCAAAGAACCACTTCAATACATAGTGCAATGGAGAGGTAATGGAAGAGCCAAATCCACATATGGGGGACTACGACAAAGCTCTATTTACAGCCACTGAAATAAGAATCCAAATAATCTTTTTTCATTGCCAAAATAGAGCTTAAATTATGTAATTTATTTACCACTTTGGAGGACTGCTTTTGTAGGCTCATAATTCAAAATGATCTGGACAAATTGGAGAAATGGTGCGAGGTAAACAGGATGAAGTTTAATAAAGAAAAATGCAAAGTGCTTCACTTAGGAAGGAACAATCAGTTTCACACATACAGAATGGGAATCAACTGTCTAAAAAGGAGTATGGCAGAAAGGGACTTAGGGGTTATAGTGGACAACAAGCCAAATATCAGTCAACAGCGTGATGCTGTTGCAAAAAAAGCAAACATGATTCTGGGATGCATTAACAGGTATGTTGTGAGCAAGACATGAGAAGTCATTCCTCCACTCTACTCTACGCTGGTTAGGCCTCAGTCGGAACATTGTGTCCACTTCTGAGCACCATATTTCAAGAAAGATGTGGAGAAATTGGAGAGGGTCCAGAGAAGAGCAACAAGAATGATTAAAGGTCTAGAGAACATGACCTATGAAGGAAGGTTGAAAGAATTGGGGTTGTTTAATTTAGAAAAGAGAAGATGGGGGGGGACATGATAGTCATTTTCAGGTATCTAAAAGGGTATCATAAGGAGGAGGGAGAAAACTTGTTCATCTTGGCCTCTGAGGATAGAACAAGAAGCAATGGGCTTAAACTGCAGCAAGGGAGGTTTAGGTTCATTAGGAAAATGTTCCTAACTGTCATGGTGGTTAAACACCGGAATAAATTGCCCAGGGAGGTTGTGAAATCTCCATCTGTGGAGATATTTACGAGTAGGTCAGATAAATGTCTGTCAGGGATGGTCTAGACAGTACGTGGTCCTTCCGTGAGGTCTCAATGACCTCTTGAGGTCCCTTCCAGTCCTAGTATTCTATGATTCTATGATATTAGTTATAAAGAAATTTATATTTAATATGCCAAAACATATTAAAGACATAGTCAAGACAAGTTTATCCTAGTTATTCAAACTAGGGCTGCAAATGTAGGCATTCGGAATTGCAAATCAAGCCCGGGATTTAAATATCCCATGCTTGATTTGCATCTTCCCGGCCAGGTGCCATTTTTTGAAATTTACAAGCCCGAAGTAACTTCCCGTGTCTACACGTGGCAGTGAAACGGGCGTTCGAAATAAAGCTCTAGTTCAAACTACCTGTTATTCCTCCTGTAATGAGGTTTAACAGGTTGTTCGAACTAGGGCTTTATTTCGAACGCCCGTTTCACTGCCGCATGTAGACACGGACAGTTACTTCAGGCTTGTAAATTTCAAAAAATGGTGCCCCGCTGGGAAGATGCAAATAAAGCACGGGATATTTAAATTTGCAATTCCAAATGCCTACAATTTCAGACCTAGTTTGAATTAGGCTGCAAGTGTAGACATACCTCATGAGAAGTATTACAGATTCTAATTCTAGTTAAGTGTTATTGTTTTTAGGTGTGATCAAATGCTGCTAATATATTCTTAGTATTAACTACTCTTATGCCTACCCCTATATCTCCCCGAGCCATTGAAGAACAGATAGGAGAGAAAAATAGAATTTAGTTTTGTACTAGGTTTCGGCAAAGGTTTGTCATTGAAGATTAAAATTAGGCCTAGGTTCAGGCTTACAGGTGCCAAAAATATGCAAATATTTCCTGTACCCCAAAATGAAAAATTGCTGCAGCTGGTATGATTTAGACTGACACTTATTATTTTGTATGCTGGACATCTTAAGATTAGCTATATATGTGAAGATTTTGCTTGTTTGTGCCAAGAAATGGAGGGAGCAGTTTTTCTCCTACCCTGGCTCTATCCAACCAACCTTTCCAATTTTGAAACTTAGAATCAAAATTACTGGGATATTTCCAGATCTGTGGATCTGGGAAAGTGTTGTCTTTTGGCCTTTATTACGCTATGCTAGGAAAGCCAAATGGTCCTATGAATGGATGAACACAAACTAAAGAGACGTGTAAAGGGACATTTTAACATTCAAGGTTCAGTTAGGCAGAGTGTTAAACATTCTGTCACTGATCCATCACAACACTTAATCATGGGAGTAGTTGCACTGATTACAACTGATCAAGTGTTTAAAGTTAAGCTCATGCATGAGTACTTTGCCACCCCATCAGAGTAATCGCCTTTCAGGACTGAGCCTGCAGTCTGGGGCTTTTCTGCTAAAACTGCCAATTCAACTGCTAATGAGAGCCGTGGTTGCCTAATACAATTTATGGAAACTTATTAAAAGCTTTTAAACACTAGACAGTTTGAAAACTGAACTGATTCACTAAATAATTATAAATGCTGCCAGTGCAGGCCTATGAAAGATAAAAGACACGTTTATTCTCTTCCCTCATCTGACTTATGATCTTTGGTGTCCCTCCTCTTTAGTGGCCCAATATGTGATGCTTCTGATGAAGATGAGATCACTCAAGTCACCTGGCTTTGGCTCCGCTCCTGGGGCAGCAGAGTGTGGTTGAACTCAGACTCTGGTCCTCTTTCCTGTGGTTGTGTAGTATTTTTTGATGTCGGAAGGGGGTAACAATAATATATGGAGATATACCTATCTCATAGAACTGGAAGGGACCTTGAGAGGTCATCGAGTCCAGTCCCTTGCCCTAATGGCAGGACCAAGTACAATCCCTGACAATGCAATGAAGTTCGAGAATCGCTGCCCTAATGCAATGCTACAAGAGGGGAGAAGGAACACGTTGACCCTGAAGATGATTAATGTATGTTATCCATAAAGGATGAATATGGGATGCCATAACTTGCGTATGCCTTACTACCCAGCCTTAAATCATCTTACTATTTTCCTACTCTATATACACTTCAGTAACCCATGTAGCACTGAATTCTACATATTGCCTATGAGACAAGGAAAACATTATACCCTTATTTTTTCTGTCTTCGCTTACTACTTCAGCTTTCAGTCACCATCACTTCATTCTGGTAGTTCGGGAATGGGTGAAATGGAGGGTTTAATCAATTTTCACTTTTACACCTTCCTAAATTTTGAATTGCTCAAATCAAGTTGGGTTCCATGTATCTTTTTTATTTGCCAGGGCAAAGAAAACCAAGTCTTTTCACTCTCTCATCATAGATAAATCCAATTAGGTCCTTCTCTGGGCCTTCTCAATGTCAACTGCATATTTTTCTAACAGAAGTAGCTAATGTTGGGACATTGTTATACAACCCTCCCCCAACATCACTTCCTCTCCTGCCTGGTTTAGTCAGAAGCAATCACCTGATGGTTGTTGACAGTAAAGGAGATCCTAAGTATCCCAGTGATGATGTTGGATAGATGGGAATCCTCTCTCCACCCCTTTGCTGCTCTCCTTTCACTTGCTAGGAAATTAATTGTGGAGGTGCTATTTGACTGGGCCCTGTACACACTCCCTGGTGTGTCTTGGGAGCCTCCAGGAATAACTGTGAACTTTTCCAAGCACTGGGCATAACTCAAAAGTATCAATTATAAATGCTAGATAAACAATATAGTCTCAGATTCAAGTTAATTACACTTTTAATTAACGATGTAGAAAAACATCATAGAACAGATGGAGATTAATTAAAATGTTACAACTGCTTTAAGATAGTTAAGGGTCTTTATTAGTCAATTAATAAATACAGTTTACAGTTGTAAATAAAACTTATCCAACTTACTTCATTAATATTGCCTCTATCTGGAGTATGCATTCCTCTTAATTTTTGAATTTTAGATGTAAATGTAGATGTGGGCATGCCTGAAGATGAGGACAACACTCTGTTAATCTAGTAAAGTAACCTAGCCAAGCTAACAAGGGGCAGAGTGGTTCTAACTTGGGATCACTCTAAGGGTACGTCTAGACTACATGCCTCTGGCGACAGAGGTATGTAGATTAGGCTACCCGACATAGTAAAATGAAGTGGCGATTTAAATAATCGCCGCTTCATTTAAATTTAAATTTACATGGCCGTTTGTCACAATCTGTTTGTCAGCTCAGCACGATAGTCTGGACACGCGGGTAGCGACATCAAAGGTATTTGTCGACCACCCACGTAAACCTCATCCCAGGAGGCATACCTGGGTGGTCGACAAATACCTATGATGTCGACACCTGAGCCAACAAACAGCTGATCAGCTGTTTGTTGGCTCAGCACGGCAGCCATGTAAATTTAAATGAAGCGGCAATTATTTAAATCGCCGCTTCATTTTACTATGTCGGGTAGCCTAATCTACATGCCTCTGTCGCCAGAGGCATGTAGTCTAGACGTACCCTAAGCTGAAGATACGAGTTATCACCAGAGGTCCATTACGTTGGATCTTGGTATCCCAATGTCAAGCTGTCCCTTGGTGGCTCAAGAATGTGAGTACCAATCTCAGGGAAGACTACAGAATCAAGGCACAACCCTCAAATTGGTTGTAAGTTCTAAATATAGAAGTGTATGTGCATTGGAAACTAAAAAAACTGGGAGTCACAGTCCCCTTGGGCACCACCTAGGGATTTGACAGATAATCCCTTGCACCAAAAATCACAGCAATATTCAAGTTACTCCTAATCCCAAAACGACAAGTCATTTAGCCTAGGTCAGCTGCACATCAAAGACAAGGTATATAATGCTATAATAAACTACAGATTTATTAATAGTCAAAGGAAATGAGTTATTTACAAGGATAAAGCAGATAAACACACATACAAATAAGTTACAATCTTAAGTTTCCAGAGTAATAAAAGCATATATAATAAGCAAACTCTGTGTGTTCTTTTTGGCTAACTCAGGCTAAACACTGGGGTTCTCTTGCTTATGGTTAGGAAGCCTTGCCTCCTCCCCCAGACTTCAAGCAGCATATAGATCCAGTTACTTCTTGTTAGGGATTTTTATTCCCTTTCTCCCATGTGGAAAAGTGGAAGACAGCAAGGATTTGTATCTTTTTTTGGAGTTGGCTGTTCACATGTCAGGGCAGAGGACTACTCTGTGAAGCAGCCTTTAAGGAGCTTTCCTGAATTCATAAGAGATTGCCTCTATCACAGAGTCAACAAACCTCTAACGAGTGGGGTTGCCATGTTATAACCTATTGATTTTGACAAACAGTTGACAAACCACAGGCAAGGTTCTGATGGAATTCTGCCTGCTATCCTGCCCCATGCACTGGCAGGCTGGCCAGTCACATGAAGAGCCCTAGTACTAGAACACCATGGCTTCCAGGGTCCCCTTTGCACAATCCAGAGCCTGGAAGCTTGTGGTATAACTAAGTCTCCACTCCCAACTCTGCAGCAGGGAACCCAGAAATCTCAAGAGCCCTGGCTTGAGTATGGGTACTCAGGATCTCCAGGTTCTCTACTCTGAAACTAGAAGTTCATCCCAGAGTTCCAGGTGCCTAGTGTCTACAGAAGCTCAGTTATCGTGACAACTCCCACGTGGGGCCTCTGGGGCTTTCAGTTGCCTTGACCACCTGGCTACTTGACTCCTGTAGTCTGGTGTGCCACCTGCCCTGAGAGCCAGAAAGCTTGAAGAGCCAGCTGTGCTGGGAGTCTGGCAGTCCTGGGCTGCCCTCAGAGCCACAGACTCTGACATCCTGGCAGCTGCTCAATGAAATTGACATACATCTTGTCAGTTTCATGGCTACCCACCAATGCTAGCAGTGGTGAAACTGACAAGATTCATTTCAATTCACTCAGCAGCTGCCACGGTCCTATGGAGCATATTTTTTGTTGGAAACACCATGTGTTAAGAGTTGTTGAATAAAAAACGTAAGGAATATTCTAGTTTGCAAGACATTTCCAAAAATGTTCCACATCAAACAGAAGCCAAATTTCAAATATCTTAATTTCTTATGAATTAGAAATTCTGATGTTGGTGGCTTTTGTTGTAAGGGAATGGATTCAAAAATAACAAAGTGTACGTCTACACTTGCTCCCTAGTTCAAGCTAGGGACGCAAACGTAGGCGACCGAAATTGCTAATGAAGCAGGGATTTAAATATCTCATGCTTCATTAGCATGATCTCGCTGGCATGTTCCTCCGCTCAACAGCTGATTCGAAACAAGAGTAATATTAGTTCGAACCAAGGGGTTTGGTTTGAACTAACGCATTCCAGCACGCACTTCTTGGTTCAAATTAGCTGTTGAGTGGAGTAACGCGCCGGCGAGATCATGCTAATGAAGCATGAGATATTTAAATCCCTGCTTCATTAGCAATTTCGGTCGCCTACATTTGCATCCCTAGCTCGAACTAGGGAGCAAGTGTAGACATACCCAAACAGACCACAGCCTGGCATTTAACTTCATCAGGCAGATCCTAGCATCCAAATGCCTGTAATTGTGTAACTCCCTCCAGCCACCAAATTCAATCCTGGAATTCCTTAAAATGAGGAAATTAAGTCATCATGGACATAGCCAATATCATATGAAAAATGATAAAGAATCACAGAAACAGTCAATTGTATCTTCTAACCCTAAAGAAGAAACTTTATTAGAAGATGCAAACCACTATTAATCCTAATACTCTTCTACATCTCATTATGTTTCATTGTGGTGGTTTTGCCTAGAACCTTTCCCAAGCTTGCATTTGCTTGGCTTCCAGCTACAGTTCAGAAACAGTACTTTTCACCCTATAACTAGAGCCACAAAAGTCAGCCAGCACAAGCTCAGAAAGAAGAAAAAATTCAAAGACCACTTAACGGATTGTCAATTAGAATCAGTGAATGCTGATCTAAATATTAAAGACAGACTAAATTAGCAAATATTTGAACTGTACAAAGTGCCCTTAGTAGAGAGTGAGTGACATTCATCTGACATAGTCAGTTTAAAAAGTGACAAAATCAACTTGCATATCCAATAGATAAAATTCATTGACATTTTGAGGTCTTGCTACATTAGAGGCAAGTACAGAAAAACAGATTCCCAAGAACCAATTACTGAAAATATACTACCATGATGACTGAGAAGACAAGAATTTGTCATTCTCCATAATTTTTAAAAGAGCAAATACTTTTAAGTAAAACTTTTGATTAGAAAAAAAATATGACTTGCTGGGAACTTAGTTAAAAATATATTCTGGCAAGTTGTGTGTGTGCGTGTGTGTGTGTCATCCACCAAAAGTATGTACTTATGCAACTGATAAGCAATCATTTTATGGTTATGTCTCATAAGAGACTGCTGATAGATCATTAAGCCTATGCAAGATGTGCTCTATTATTCATAGATCCAATAAGGATTATATTTGGTAACCCTTTGGTTTGTTCTATATGCCCATGGCATGTTAGATGTGGGTTTCAATAGCATGATGCCATTTCAAATTCATGTTCTTAATTTAGCTTTGCTGCAAGCAATATGTGCCTAAGCCAATATGACATTATATGTTGGTACTGTCTTGCAAATGATCTTTAATGTGATTCTTGTGGGTCCCTTGTAGTTAAAAAGTAAAATCATATTTGTAAATGCAGTATTCTTATGCTTTGAA